ACACATTTATCAATTAAGTTTGCCTTCTTATATGGATGTGGTTTGCAGGGCCCCAAAACAATTACCAATTACAATAGTAACATCAAATATCACTGATCACAGATCACCATAACAATAACAACAATAATAATAAATTTTGTAATATTGGGAGAATGAACAAAATGTGACACAGAAATAGCAAGTGAGGAAATGCTATTGGAAAAATGGTACCAATAGACTTGCTTGACCCAGGGTTGCCACAAACCTTTGATTTGTAAAAATTATGAAACACAATAGTGAGGTATACGTGTACAACATTATTACCTGCCTGATGTAGCTGCCACCACATACTCTTTTTTTTTTTGAAAGCAGCTATTAACCTGCTCATAAGCTTGTGTTGAAACTGAATGCCTGAGCATGAGACCTTGTGACTGACTGTATGGTCTGATATCCTTATTTTGACATGGATCAACTTGGACTCTTATAAGTTTAAGTGATAAGAGAAGGACCCAAAAGCCTTGCTGACCATATGGAAATGGTATATTCAAACTGATAAACTGGTACAGCCACTATGGAAAACAGTATGGAAGGTCCTTAAAAAATTAAAAATAAAACTACTATATAACCCAGCAATTTCACTTCTGGGTATTTATACAAAGAAACAGTAACACTATTTTGAAATGATATATGTCCCCTATGTTCACTGCAGCATTATTTACAATAGCTAAGATATGAAAACAACCTAGGTGTCCATTGATAGATAAATGGATAAAGAAGATATTACTCAGCCATGCGACAACATGGATGGACCTAGAGAGTATTATGCTAAGTGAAATAAGTCAGACAGAGAAGGACAAAAACTATATGATTTCACTTACAAGTGGAATCTATAAAACAAAAAGTGAATAAACAAAATAAAACAGAAACAGACTCAGAGATATAGAGAACTGATAGTTACAAGAGAAGGAAAAAACAGTGAAGAGGATTGAGAGGTACAAACTTCTAGTTATAAAATAAATAAGTCACAGTGATATAATGTACAGGGATAGAGAATACAGTCAATACTATAGTAATAACTTTGTACAGTGACAGATGGTTACTAGATTTATCACGGTGGTCACTTTGTAAGATACACAGGTGTCGAGTCACTGTGTTGTACACCTGAGACAAATATGATGTAGGTCAACTATAATTTTTTTTTAAAATCACATTTGGCCTGGCTCTAGAGCAGTGCTTCTCAACCTTCTAGCCCTTTAAATACAGTTCCTCATGTTGTGACCCAACCATAAAATTATTTTCGTTGCTACTTCATAACTGTAATGTTGCTACTGTTATGAATCATAATGTAAATATCTGATATGCAGGATGGTCTTAGGTGACCCCTGTGAAAGGGTCGTTCGACCGCCAAAGGGGTCGTGACCCACAGGTTGAGAACCGCTGCTCTAGAGGGATCTTTGTTTTTTGTGGAAAAGTGACAGTTTTGGGCGATACTTTATCTGCCACTCAGACCACCTGAAGCAAAGCCATTGGCTCAATGAGACCCTTAATTCACAGAAGTTTCCCTAAGTGTCTGGGCCTAGTTCAGTGATGGTTCTGCTCAGTTGAAAGCTGATGGTTTCACTGGGTGTCAGTAGCTGTCCAGCTGAATCAGAACTTTGGAAGACAGGCTGCAGTATGGGCTGATCAGGGCAATGTGTGAATGAAAGCTGTTACCCTTACCTTAGACCAGGGGTAGGAAAACCATGGCCCATCAGCCAAATCTGGCCTGTTGCCTGCATTTGTAAATAAAGTTCTCTTGGAACACAGCCATGTCCAGTCATGTATGTTTTGTGTATAGCTGCTTTCACACTATAATGGCAGAGCTGAGACCACAACAGATCATGAAGACAATATTCATACCTACTTCTCTGTGGGCCACTCAGAAAGGTCATCAGAACACCTAATGATATCACCCAGGACATTCAAACTGCAAGCCAGGAAAATCCATCAGATTAAAACTGCCACCCTCATTCCACCATCTAAAGATTCAAGCTCAAATCCGGACATTTTCTTGACTGGCTGCTCTCCAGACTCAGAAACTGAGTTTATAATTGCTCCAACTATGATTCTTTGTCTTTTTTGTTCCATAGAAATGCCTCTTATTAAATACCTGATTGCTTATCTACAATAATAAAAGGGTAATATGCTAACTAGACTGGAAGTCTTCCAGACGTCATTCCGGATGTCCTTCCTGACAGAGCCAGGGCTGGAGGGAAGCCAGCCCGCATCCCGGGTGCCTGCGGGCAGCTCAAGGGAAGCCAGCCCGGATCCAGGGTGCCTGCGGGCAGCCTGAGGGAAGCCAGCCCGGGTCTCAGGTGCCTGCTGGTGGCCGGAGTAGGGAAGCCTGGGTCCCAGGTGCCAGAGGGAAGCTGGTGCTGGTAGCCGGGGAAAGGAAGGCCTACTCTTGCACGAATTTTCGTGCACTGGGCCTCTAGTACAATATAAAGGCCTATCTTAGATGGAAACTTACCTATAACACTGCCTCCTGAAAGAAGACATCCTCATGTTTATCCTGTCCTGAGCAATGATGACACAGTTCAATACAGTAAGGCACTAATGCAGTACTGAAAGCCTTATTTCCACCAGGTCCCAAAAGCTTTCTGTGATTCCCTCCCAAAGGAAGGCAGTGTGCTGCACACATTAGAACCTAAGGAGTTTACTGGAAAGGACATCAACAAAGGACTGCCTCATTAGAAGAGACCTTATCCTCTGCAAAATCTCAACACTTACAGCAAGAATTTATAACTCTTTAGCCAGAGTTATATGAGATAACCACATAGCCTTAAACATCCTAACCACCCAACAATAAGGTGCTTGCTGTAACTGGTAAAAAAAAAAAAAAAAAAAAGTTTTATGTTAATAAATCAAGAACTGTTACCCAAAACTTAAAAGGTCTTACTTAAAGATCAGATAACAATCTTTCATCAAATAGGCAACACTTCTTTCACTGATTTATTTAATTGATTACATTTTGGCACTGGGGAATCTCTACTCTAGGGAATTTTTCAATCCTTGGCTATCATTCTCATAATCACCATATTAACCTTCCTAGAGCACTGCATCCTCTCAAGAGTTATAAATGCCTTTCAACAACCACTCACATCCAATGTTATCTACCAGGATTAGACAACTTGAAGAATTCAGTGATCCCACCAGCCATGTCCAGATGACTTGGCAACTGTAGGGAACACAGTAATTGTATGACCATCCATCCCAATGCCTACATCAACAGTGGTAGCGAGAGTAACACTATACTGGTTGACACTCTTAGCCTGCTGAATGACCAAAAGGAGGGATTTAAAAAAATAAAATAAAATAAGATACCAGGCTTGAAAATCCCTCAAGCAGAGCAAACCAGTTTGGCCACATAAGCAAAAGTTACTCTAGTTTATTTCATGAACAAAGTGATATGCAAGAGATTATTTCTTATAAATGCCTTTGATAATCAACTTAAATAATCTCCCTAAAATTGTATAAGATAATCACTTTTAACCAATCACTCTCACTTTAGAAGCCATCCTGATAGGGGAGGTGCATGTCATAGAAATAGAACAGTTGCTTTACAGCTATTCACACAGAAAAGACATTTTTCTTACAGACCCTGGGAAACTAGACCCATTACAAGAAGAAGAACAGGGCCGAACGATAAGGCAGCCTTGACCCCAGATGAGCTCCTCAGGGAAAAGAAGATACATTTTAAGCGCAGATGGAGGACAGAGCCTATCTGAAGGCAGACAGCGTTCCAGGGCTAATCTCTGCAGCGACAGTGATGGGAAGCAGACCCTGGGAACTCAATAGTTTTAATCCCCCACCCCACCCCCACCCACCCTCTATCGGATACAATAAAAGCCAAGGTGGCACAACGCCCCAAGATGGCAGCCCTCACGTTGTCACAAGATGGCCGGCAGGGGAGGGCCGTTGGGGGGCGATCAGGCAGGTAGGGGAGGGCAGTTGGGGGGCGACCATGCAGGTAGGGGAGGGCAGTTGGGGGGCGATCAGGCCGGCAGGGGAGGGCAGTTGGGGGGCGATCAGGCCTGCAGGGGAGGGCAGTTGGGTGCCTAAACTGGCAGTTGGACATCCCCCAAGGGGTCCCAGATTGGAGAGGGTGCAGGCCGGCTGAGGGGCATCCCCCCACCCCTGCACGAATTTTGTGCACGGGGCCTCTAGTCCTTATACAGAATAAACGCTGGCTTGAAATGAAACGTCAGAGTGGTGCTTTGGGGGTATTACACCTGTCACTCTCTCAGATCACTGGCCATCTGAATAATGAAAAGCACCACAGATTCAACCTCCTCTCTACCTATGTGCCTCTGGCAGCTCCGGGCACCAGGACTCCTCCTGTCCCGTTTCCTAACCACAGGCTCTGAAATAAAACACTCACAAAAAGGAAAGCTCTCTGAAATGTCCTTTGACACCACGCATCCTTCTAAATGAGGCCTTCACATGTGAAGTTTATTGCTCACTACAGTCCCAGAGGCGGGCACCGTGACAGAACTTTGTGGGTCAAGCGCTCGGCACCGGGAGAGCCTGTGGCTCGCCCATGGCACCCAGCGGTGACGCGGGTCACCCTGCCTGAGAATC